GGATCGAAAAACTTTTTCACTACACCATTAGAAATATCATAGTTTAAAACTCGAAGAAAAAAGAGAGCAGAAATAAAAAATTCTTATAGAAGTATTGTTTGCTTCACTTAACAATATCCTTTCGACAGCTAAAGCATATTTCAGTTTTATGGACTTTTTAGTATAATATTTCTTTTTAGTATAATATAATATACTTGACAAAGAGTATGTCACACAAGTTTTTTATTGTGAATAAATGTTTCTGCATGTAGATTATGTGAAAGTAATTTACTTACATTATTGATGTTATTATCATAATAATAATAAATATCATGACATTTTTATGGTCATAAAAAAGCGTTTTCATTCTTCGAAACAATATTGATATGACGCAAACAGATAGGATAAACGTATCACAGAGACAAAATAGCAAAGATTAAACAGCGTAGAGATTTCGATGAAAAGCACTTGTTATTCTCATATGTATATATACACAACTTTATGTTCATTAACTGATTTCTTGAATTAATTCTATATATTATAGCATACTCGACACTTTAACAATATGTCTTTAAAACAACAGGAATATCCTATAGGTAAGACTGGCTAGTTGAAAAGTTCTAAAAAAAACGTATCCGGAGGTAGGCCTCTTTTATGAGATAAATTGTTCGAGTTTTTGACAAAACAACTAGTATTTGTGACTCATACATTATATATTATAATGCATTCAGTTTTCAGTCAGATTTAACAGTTTTCGAGAGGACTGTGCAATAGTGAAACTTTATCCTTAATGCAGCCAAAATTCATCAATGGTCAATTAGACTAATTCATCACCAGACGCCGCACAATTCGCCAAATCCTACCAGAATTTTTCAAAATATTTTTAGAATTTTGTGAAATACAACAGCGTTCTTATAATATTCTCGCATAATTCTGTTGTATTTCACAAAATTCTGCTTTAATTCGCAAAATACTGATAGGATTTGGCAAAACTCTGAGAAATGTGGGAGAGTTCTGACAATATTCTTGCATTATTCTGTTGTATTTCACAAAATTCTGAAAATATTTTGAAAAATACTGGCGAATGTGATGGCGATTACATTAATCGATGGTTGATGAATTTTGGCTGGGTTAAGGATAAAATTTCATCATTGCACAGCCATGAGTTTCTGAAAAACTGTTTTTCTAGAAACCTCGAAAAATCTGCAAAACATTTCTAAATAGATCACAATTATAGCGCGCGAAAGTCTGATCAAAATGAGACATCTCCCATCTCCACACAACCTTTCTTTGCAAAGTTATACAGTTTACAAGAAAAGCCTTAAATGTTCATTGTCACCTCAGAGTGGCAGAAAGAAAAAGAAAAAATGAGTTTAGGGCTTTTCTTTTAAACTCTATAACAATGCAGAGAAAGGTCGTGCAGAGCTAGGAGATGTCTCAGTATGATCGGAATTGCGCGGGCTACATTTGTGGATGATTTTGTGGGGTTTCTGGAAAACCACATTGCATTTATCGGAAGTCCCTGTATTTTGACGTTAAGATAACTGTTAATTTTAGTTTTAATAAATTGAATTGAGGAATCCAGGATAGATAATTAGATATGTAATTTGTTCCATAATGTAGCTAAAAAACTGTTCTCTTGATTTCATCTATATTCCTGGCATGAAAGACGGGATAGCACCCATGGCGGTAGAAAATAAAGGTTAGTGTTGAATATGTGAGATCACGTAAGAAAAGAAAACACCAAATACGCCCGAATATTCTGATTTAAATCGTGAAATACTAAGGTAAAGGATATACAAGTACTCACAAATGAATAAACACAATAATCTGACCCACGATCAAGATTCACAAAGAGATTGTCAAATGTACAGGAATTCTATCCTTTATTGAGTTTATCATAGTATAGACTGAAATTTAAGTACTGTGCAATATGTGTACATAGTGCAGTGAACAATGAGAGAGAGAAGTGAATTCTCATTGGAAGAGAATGACATATCTTTAATGACTGGCTCCATCTGTCTAGATATTCTGACCAATTCAGTTTGTAAAGCATTTCACGGACTATTCAGCGGTATTCTTTTAAAAAATATACAGTTTTTCATTCAGACAGAAAAATGACTGAAGGAGTGCTCCACAGGCGCTTTCCGTAGGTCCAGCGCGTTTTTTACATGTTCTTAATGACCAGACCGATCGATCTGAATTTTCTGACTAGCTTGGTTTGTAGAGAATTTCAAGGGCTATCCAACAGTATAGTTTTGAAAAATATATATGAAGAAATGAAAAAGTTATTGTAAAATGACTTGCTCAATTTTAGGTAAAAGCCGCAGTGTTTTAATGGAAATTCAATATCTCAAGAAAGAAACAGAATTTCGAAAAACCGAATTATACTTTTGTAGTACCATCAAGGTTATTTGGCTTTAGAACTGGAGCTCTATCTCCTAACACAAAAAACTAGATAGCTTTGCACGGCAATTGGTAAGGTCCCTATTCAGTTGCGCGCCAAAATTTTGTGTTTCGGTCCAGCATCTTGAAACCAATATCATGCAGTTTTCGACACGCAATCTAAAAAATTTTGTCTTACGAAAAATAGTTATTTCGTGAAAGTTTGCAGTTTTATGGAAAAAAAACTGTTCTCAGTTTTTTGATTTTTCTCCATGAAAACGCGCACTGAATAAACTGCAACGGTGATATTCGCAATCAGCTTCAAATTCTCTATCGAATTATATATAAAGAAGCTAAAAATAAAATAGTATTTGATCTTTGAATTACGCGCGCTTTAATGCAGCTTTACACATGTTCTTTTCTGTTTTTTCTTTTGCTGTAAATACTTTCTTTGTTTAATAACTAAGGACTTTTCTAAAACTCGCTGAATCTATGGACTTCAGGTTTCTTAATTCAAGTATTATTAACGGTTCGCAACAAATACAGAAGGTCTTATCACTTGGAAAAACTCAAAATCAAATTTCAAGCTATTTGTCTTAAAAACGTTCAGTTTTCAAGCGACAAAAACCCGAGGGAAATTTTTTCTCGCGTTAAAATGTTTTGAAAAGGAGACATTCCTCTTGAAAGTAAGACATTCGTCAGCTCCGGATAATTGGTTTAAGAAATAGTATTGCTGCTATAAAACGGTTGCAAAAGCTACGCTATTTTTAAGCAAACTGGCTAGGATTCTACCGGGGAAAAGCGCACTCTATCCTGCGACCAGCTGGATCTCTTCGGTAACCATATTGCTATCGGAACTGGTGAACGTCTGCATATTCAGATTGGGCACACTTAATTGCAAATAGACACCACTTAAGTAAGCAGAACAATTTGACTACAACTTGCTAGAACTCGCTATCCTTATAATTTGAAGAGACACAGTTTATCTTTATAGGAAAATTATTCATTTGTGATGACACTGATGTGGTTCAGAACAACGACTCTACAAACGAAACAGTTCGTCAAGAAATTTTAGCTGCTGCTCAAGAATGGGTTAGATGCTTCAATATTGGTGACTATAAATATACCATCGATACTTATTTGCCCAACGCAGAAATGTATCCGCGAAATACAAAAACATCTGTAATACCTGTTAAGCAGAGAGAAAATATTGGTCAATGGTGGAAAACATTCCTTGATACAACGGGTGCAAAAAATTTGGTTTATTATAATGTTGATGTGAAAGTAACCGGTCCTAATAGTGGTGATTTATCAGCTAGATGGTATATGAGCGTTGGCAGCGGACATATTGACAAGGAAACATGGACTAAAAATGATGGCAGATGGTCACTTGCTTTTGATGATTTTACTGTAGAAGAAACACATTCAGCAACAGGAGTAGTTGAGGACCATAAATCTGACGTGGTGAAGCCGACATCGTCACCATCATAATAAAATGAATTTTTACTCGTACATTTAGCATTCAATCGAAATATATTATCTAGTTCTCTTATTAAAATAAATATTTAATCCAGTCTATGAGCAATATAGTTATTCACTTAGGGAAACACAACAAAATCAATTTTCGACATTCAGACCCAGTCCATTGATAAGGTTTAAAAGATAATACGTTTAACTATACTGTGAGGTTTGTTTCAAACTGGATATTTATTACACAGTCCTTAATATCAATTCTTGAATAACTACTCTTAGTTTAAAATAGGAAGAGTTTACGTTAAAGTTTCACGTTAAAATAGTGGAAACCGATACTAGACGAAATAATCTATTTTTCACTATTTTCACTGGAAATTAAAAAATTCATAACTCAGACAAAATTGTTCCAAACTACTTCAGAATATCAGGATATACTCCATTTTATCTTTTTTTTGAACTTTTTTTTGAACTTTTTTCATGAACTTGCATAAAAGTTCCAGAAAACCAAGAGAAAGTACTATTTTTGAAAGGCCTTCGTGAAAGCGTCAGGAATAAGACTTCTTGTGGTGGTTCTTATGGTTCTTATGCTTTTAGAAATCAGATTTTACATGGAATAACTGTTTGTGAAATACTACAGAAGTCAAATGTATAGAGAAGTTTGTCTCGGAAGGTCCAGTTTTTTAGCACATGTAGTGATGACTCTGTGAATAGATTTTGTTGCAAACATATGCTTCGATTTTATACTTTGGGTAGCACCCACAACTTTATTCCTGAAACGAGTATATAACGTCACGTATTTGAATGAACCTGATTTATTTAGGAATAGAAAAAACACTGTGTGATCTAATTTGGAAAGGACAGGAAAGGAAAAAACGTTAGACATGTCTTCGTTTTGATCATAATTACTCTCTATTGAGCAGGCAAATTGTAAAGATTTTACGTAGATCGATAGAGAAGGATTTCCTCTACTGGGAAATTAAAAATACAGTGTTCATGTTGAGAACTTTCTTCAGAAATTGCAAATAATCAACCTGAAATTTTTCGTGATCTAATTGCGGCCGACGGCTCTAACACGCAGATATTGCATGTTATGATCTGTAGTAATCCTCCAGATTAAAGTAAAAAATTCAAGGCTTTTAGAGTTGAAGTTATGAAAGGACTCGATGAAAGTCAACGATGCAATGAGAAAAAAACGAACGGACTGCTATAAGGAGGCGGGGGCACCTCTCAAAACTGAAATCGAAAATTCAAATTTAAAATTTAGAAGCTTTTTATTTCAATTTTTTGACCAATTTAGTTCTTTAAAAAGTTTCAAACAGTATATCAGTGGATAAAGAATTAAATTCTCTACAAAAATGCACTCTTGACCTTGTCAAAACAATTTTAAAAAACGCTTATTGCACATCACTCTCGACACACAGCATTAACGATAAATTTTGCGCGTTCTAAAAAACAAGCGAAAGTTCATTCAATAGTTTTACACTATTCTAACTTTTGCTGTTTCTGGCACGTATTTGTAATAACTTTCCGAAAGATAGCTTTTCGAAAGACAAAAATCCCTCAGTCTACGTGCCCGCCAGCATCCGACAAGTGATCGAGTCGGAGAGCGTGTGCTTCATGAAGAATGTAGACCTAGATTTCGAAGA